CACCTCGGAAGGATGGAAGGCTGAGTCAACCTTGAGCCGGTGAGATTTGAACCACTGAACTGCTGAACTAGCAGTCAGCTGAAGTGGCCTGCAGTGCTGCACCCTAACCACTGCGCCACCTCGGCTCTATAGATGAGTGGCTTGGGAGATGAGAATCTTCTCTAACCTGTCAGCCCCCCCCCGACCCCCCCAATATAGTCCCTGTTGACGTCCCAGCCCACATTTTTAGGCTACTCTGGAAAGCCAGGAGTGTTGCAGTGGACCTCACCGTTGATGGAAGAATATTCCAGAAGGAAAGAGTCAAAGCAGAAAAAGATATTCTTCTGGACCTCACCAGTTGAAATTCTTTGGTTGATGGGATCCAGAGTAGATCCTTTCCAGTGGAACAAGTGGGGCAGATTAGTCCCACTGGAATGAGATGGTTCCTCAGATACTCTGGATCCATGCCATAAAGAGCTTCAAAGATAATGGCCAAACACCTTGAATGAGACCCAGAAGCAAATCAACAGCCAGTGCAACTTGTGTAACAACTGTGTCACACATGCTCCAGAGGCATCTCCTAAAATTGCGTTCTATTCTAGTTTTAGTAATGGAAGATAAGATTTGAGTAAACTATCAAGATTTGACAGCATCTTCACAAATAAGTAAGGAAGCTTCAGAATTACCATATAAGCTTAGTTTCCCTAATTGTATTACCTACCTTAATGTTTTAAGAGAAAGTCGTGAAAACTGATCTGCCCATATAAATTGGTATAATTTGTGACCAGTGGCATCAAAAGAACAGAAATGTTGAGTCTCTGTTCCAAGTTGAATCAAATTCTTTATCCACAAAACACTTTTTTTTTTTTCATTGAATTATTATGGAATGCAGCAACTCACCTCATAAATAGCCAGATCGATGCCAGCATATGGAATTATTCCCAAAATATTAGGAATATAACCTTTGTAAAAGGCTTTCACCCCTTCCGTTTTTAAAATCTTCTTAGCACAGTTAAACATCCCAGAATATTGTCCTGTTTTACCCACTGCCAGTCTTGTTTTTAACACCTAAAGAATTAAAATTGGGCGGAAGTAATGCAAAAAAAGAATACAATTCAATATTATATCACAACTTAGTCTTTAACATAGAGCCAGAGTATCGGACAGCTTTACAGATGTGAGAGTTAACGTATGAAAAAAGACATTTAAGAACACATATATGGGCCAAGCAATATTAAGGATATACAGATCAGTCTAAAGCTAGATCGTTTCTTTTCATATCAGTTTATTCTGGCTGATATACCTATCACTGTAAATTTTTAAATTAAAGAAATGCATATTGATCTGTAGAAATATCTTATGCATATTATATCTTATGTTTTTGTGCACAACTTGGGAGATGCAAATTAGTTTAGAGCCTTTAAATATGCAGGTCATAATTCTTAGTGAAGATGAGTTGCTGTGGGCAACTTCCAATTCAGGTGGAGAATTTAATAATTCCATTGTGGCCTTAAAACAACAGATAAAGACACCTGAGACTTTGATGTTTTAAATCAGGGATTCCCAACCTGGGGTGCGAGACAATATTCCAGAGGGTGCAAAAACTTGGGTTTAGAAGTTTCAAAATTATAATGTATATGCATAATTATATGCATATAATTATTCATTTTTGTAAGGGGTACAGATGGGTTCTAGGGGTGTGGGAAATGGAAAAGGTTGGGAACCCCTGTTTTAAATGAACTAGAAGAGAGATTTTTTAACTTGGTCCCCTGCACATGGACAATATGTGCTTGATTTATGATCTTCCCAAAGCAGCTTTAAAGTGGAACTCTCCTTAACTTAAATGATTTTGGAGTAAACATAGTTTAATATCGGATTACCATATTGACAGACGAGGGAGGGAGGGAGGGAAATATAGGGCATTATTTTAAAAAGTTTATATTATCCAATACCTACCTCCATGGGATAAATAGATGTCTGTGCTGTTGCTCCAGCCATAGAACCAGATATAAATCGTTCAATAGTTCCTACTTTTCCTTCTTCGTTAACAAACATTTTCTTATACTACGTAGTAACAAGATAGAAAAAAAAGCACATTAATTCTAGACCCCCCAAAATTAATAATAATTTATTTATTTTATTTATTAGACACATTTATATGCCGCCCAATCCCGAAGGACTCCGGGCGGCTTACAAAAANAAAAAAAGAAAAGAAAGAAATTGGTATGTGTTACAACCATGTGATAGCTATCCTTTGTAAAAACAAAAAAAAATTAAAAAACAGTCAATATAGAATGAAAAGGAATTAGGTTTGAGTAAGGCATTGCAGAACCAGAAGCATCTCCTCAGCTAACTGCAAGGAACAGCTGACAGGTAGCATATGCTGCATAGTAGAGGTGGGAAATTATTTCAGCATGAAACACGCTTAACTACATTAAGATTAATAACCCGCGGCCATTAGCAGAAATGGCAGGGTAAACTGTAGCAGCTGTGAAGTGGGTAAAGAGCATGAAATTCAGGAAGACAAGTGTTCAAATGTAATAATAAACTGTTATTCTGAGTTACCTTAAACATTCAACACTTTTTCTGAACTTTTCTAAGCTTTTCCATTCACACAAATATTTTTCTCTTAGGCCTTGAATTCAGAAGGATTTATTTTAAGTATCGTGCTTTGTTCTTTTATATCAAACAAATGTTTTTTTTAAAAAAATTACAATGGATTAACAACAGCACTTAAGACTTACAGTATATACTGCTTCACAGTGCTTTACAGCTCTCTCTAAGTCAGTGTTTCTCAACCTTGGCGACTTTAAGTCCTATGGACTTCAACTCTCAGAATTCCCCAGCCAGCTCTTAAAGTTGAAGTCCACAGGACTTCCCCAGCCAGCCAGCTCTTAAAGTTGAAGTCCACAGGACTTAAGGTTGAGAAACACTGCTCTAAGTGGTTTACAGAGTCAGCATATTGACCCCAATAAGCGGGGGTCCTCATTTTACTGACCTCAGAAAGGATGGACGGCTGAATCAACCTTGAGCCAGTCAGGATCAAACTGTTGGCAGTGGACAGATTACTTTCCAAAGTCAATGCAGCTTTAGCCTTTTAATGTTGGTGCAGTCATGTAACATATCTCACTTTACGACTGCACCAACCTATGATGGAAATGTCAGTCATAAGTTGAGGATTGTCTGTATTCCTATAAACCCAAAACTGAACCATCTCATAGATGGTCATACTTAACTGCAGCATACAAGGATTCATTTTGCGATTGGTCTGCTAAGTACTCATTAAGCCACTACAGAGTAAATTATGTGGGGAAGAAACCATGTTCCTATTAGCATCCATCATTATTTCATTAATATATCTCCTTTCCTCCAATTTCCTCAGGGAGCAGTACAAGTCATAACACAGCTAATTGATTTGATTTAGTGTTCTAAGCTACATTTTGTTTTAGCCCAATGAGAAAAGCCAATTATGGGTTGGCCAACAAATCAAGGTTAAAAGTGGCTTAGCAGAATATGATAATTTAAAAAGATAAGTAGTAATGAAACCTTAGCATCTTAAAGGAGTTGGCATTCTAGCATAAAATGACTATTTATTTATTAAATTTCTACGTCGTCCATCTCACTGAGGCAAAAACTCTAGGCAGCTTAGAATATAATAAAAAGTTGAAAAGTACTAAAAAAAAACCCCACAATTAAAATTAAAAAAGAAGTTAAATGTTAAAAACTAAGATGATGATAGCAATAGCAATAGCAGTTAGACTTATATACCGCTTCATAGGGCTTTCAGCCCTCTCTAAACGGTTTACAGAGTCAGCATATCGCCCCCACAA